TTATCATAATAAATTACTTCCTTTTCCCTAGTAATGCTTTTCACCTGGGAGTCTATTTTCCCCCAGATATTAATGCAGTTGCATCCGTGAGCTTTCTTTTGCTGCACAGTTGCATGGTATATTTTTCCTCTTTTTTTAACTTTCAAATTTTCTGTATGCTTATGTTTTAGATGAATGTCTTGAATGGAATACATTTGGATTTTTTAAAAGTTATATTGATAACCCTTCTCTTTAATTAGTGCATTTAGTCCATTTACATTTAATGTAATTATTGGTATACATATATTGGTGATACAAATATTGAACAACTCCCAGAGTACTTTGTGGGGTTTGCAGTTCTCACAAATGACCATGAGAGGGCGACTCCAGGAGATGCACAGGCATTTATAGCCTTGAAGAGACAGGAGAAACCAGGCATTCACTCTCTGGGGTTCCTCTACTACTTCTCAGGTTCTTCCCTACAATGTCTGGGCATCCTCTGGCCAGGGGAAAACAAGAATATGGGCTTGGGGACAGGAGCGTGGTGGACTGGGGGACACAGGAACAGTCCCATGGGGTTAGGGTGGCTGAAGGCACTCAGCAGGCTCAAGGCAATGGCTGTTTACCAACTCGTATAGAAAAATTTCAATATTTTAATAACTAGCACTGCTGTATAAGCAATTCAGAATGATAGCAGCTCAGACCTGCTGATATACTGGGTGTTAATCAACTTTGGGTTATTTATAACACCTGTGTTGGTTTTAAAGCCTGTTATTAATCAATATATTTACTTTCTTTTTTTGTTTTGTTTTGTTTTGTTTTTTGAGACAGGGTATTTCTGTCACCCAGGCTAAAGTGCAGTGGCATCATCATGGCTCACTGCAACTTTGACCTCCCTGGGCTCGATTGATTCTCCCAACTCAGCCTCCCTGAGTAGCTGGGATTACAGGTGTGCACAACCACGCCCTGCTGGGGTTTTTTGGTATTTTTCATAGAGATGGGGTGACACCATGTTGCTCAGGCTGGTCTCAAACTCCTGAGCTCAAGCAATCCACACACCTGGCCTCCCAAAGTGCTGGGATTTACAGGCGTGAGTCACCACACCTGGCCATGTTTACTTTCTTCCCTGACAATACAAGGGCCTCAGAACATCTTAATTCCATTTACCCTCAATCTCTACTAACCTAATGTTGTACATTTTAATCCTTCACATATTTTTAAATCCATAAAATTATTTTATTGTCTTTGGAAGACAATACCTATTAACACCACCTTCTTTGCCATTCACATAATCTTGCAGTTCTATGTTAATCTGAGATCCCTTTCTTTTTGCCTAAAGTACATCCATACTTTATAGTTTCCCTTTGCGAAGGTCTGTAAATGTTTTTATTTTGCCATCACTTATAAAAGATGTTTCTCTGAGGAAAGAAGTATAGGTTGGCAATTAATTTCTCTCAGCACACTGAAGACGTGTTTCCACCATTGTTCTCAGGAAGCTGCTAGTCTGTTACTTTAATAAAAGTACAGACGTTCCTTGACTTACGAAGGGGCTGCATCCCAATAAACCCATTGTAAGTTGAAAATATCCTAAGTTGAAAATGCCTTTATTGGCCGGGCGCAGCGGCTCACACCTGTAATCCCAGCATTTTTGGAGGCCAAAGTGGGTGGATCACGAGGTCAGGAGATGGAGACCATCCTGGCTAACACGGTGAAACCCCATCTCTACTAAAAATACAAAACATCAGCCGGGCATGGCGGTGGGTGCCTGTAGTCACAGCTATTCAGGAGGCTGAGGCAGGAGAATGGCATGAACCCGGAAGGCAGAGCTTGCAGGGAACCGAGATTGCGCCACTGCACATGAACCCGGAAGGCAGAGCTTGCAGGGAACCAAGATTGCGCCACTGCACTCCAGTCTCGGTGACAGAACGAGACTCCGTCTCAAAAAAAAAAAAAAAAAAAAGAAAATGCATTTATTACACCTAACCTACCAAACGTCATCGTTTAGCCTAGCCTACCTTAAACATTATCAGAGCACTTACATTAGCCTACAGTTGGGCAAAATATTTGAACAAAAAGCCTATTTTATAACAAAGTGTTGAAGATCTCATGAAATTTATTACTGTTCTGCTGAATGAGTGTCACTTTGTATCATCATAAAGTCAAAAAATCATAACTGAAACCATCATAAATTGGGGACCATCTGTAATCTGCCTTTTTCCCTCTGGCTTTTTCTTTCTAAATATCACTATCGAGTCTTCGTGTGGAATTATTTTTATTTATCCTGCTTGAAATTTGCCAAGCTTCTGTTTTTTGTGGTTTGGTATCTTTACAAAACAATCATTTCTTCAAATACTGTCTCTGCTCTATTCTTTTACCTCTCTCTTTTGAGATTCTGATTAAATGAATGTTAGACCCTCTCCTAGGATCTAACAGTCTTTCCTGCACCTCCAATCTTTTTCTCTCTGTGCTTCGTTCAGGATAATCTCTTCAGCTGTACCTTTCATTTCATAAACACTTTTTCAGCTGTGTCTACTGGATGTTAAACACAATAATTTTAATTATTGTAGTTTTCATTTCTAGAAGCTGTGTGTGTGTGTGTGCGCGTGTGTGTGTGTTTTCTAACTGGTTATATCGGCTGGGCGCGGTGGCTCACGCCAGCATTTTGGGAGGCCGAGGCAGGTGGATCTCCTGAGGTCAGGAGTTTGAGACCAGCCTCACCAACATAGCGAAACCCCATTTCTACTAAAAATACAAAATTAGCCGGGTGTGGTGGTACATGTCTGTAATCCCAGCTACTCAGGAGGCTGAAGCAGGAGAATTGCTTAAACCTGGGAGATGGAGGGTGCGGTGAGCCAAGATCATGCCATTGCACTCCAGCCTGGGCAACAAGAGCGAAACTCCATCTCAAAACAAAAAAAAGAAAAAAATCTGGTTATACCACTTTTTGTAGTGTCCTTTTCTCTGCAGATATCTCCAAACTTGATTTTTTTCAATTTGATATGTATAGTTTTTAAAAACAATCTGTCTGATAATTCTAATGTCTTCTGTCTTTGAGGTTCCGTCTCCATTGTCTATTGTTTCTGTTTCACCTGGTTATCTTTGACTACGTGCTAGCTACTATACAAAAAAATTATTTGAAGGATCATTTGAAGTGTAGCTTGAAAGTGCCTTCCTTTACACAGGATTTGCTTTTATTTCTGGCATGTCTGGGATCACCATAAACCAAGTTCAATGCTCGAGGTTTCCCGGAGGGCTGGGTTATTCAAACTGCAATTCAAGCTGCAAGTACCTGTGAGGGCTCACCTACTTGTAATTCATGTTCACCTAGAAGGTACAGTCCTTTGGGGAATCTCAGCTTATTGTGGAGAGGGTCTACTGTTACACTCCCTATTCTGAGTGGCCCTGAGTGTTGATTTCTGTCTTCCTTGCCTCCACTAAGCTCTCAAAACCCGTTCCAAATTTGGCTGACCTAGCGAATACTCTCAGGATACAGGTGGCTTTGTACTTACTTACCTCTCTGGGTTTTCATTTTCCCATCAGTCTCTTCCTGGTAATTCTTTACTGTCACACCAACTCTTAGAAGGCCTTTAAAGATTGTAACTATTTAGTATCAGTTTTTAAGTTGTTTTCAGGGAAAAAGCTGGTCCAAATAACCTAGCCCACTGTTACTAGAAATAGGAAGCCATGTAATGTCTTTCATGGCATACAGTAGGTACTCAATAAAGAATGAGCTAAGTTAGTTGAATTATCATAATTTCCCAAATGATATGGTTTGGCTGTGTCCCCACCCGAATCTTATCTTGAATTGTAGCTCCCACAATTCCCATGTGTTGTGGGAGGGACCTGGTGGGAAGTAATTGACTCATGGGGGTGGCTCTTGCTCATGCTGATCTCATGATAGTGAATAAGTCTCAAGAGATCTGATGATTTTATAAAGGGCAGTTTCCCTGCACAGGCTCTCATTCTGTCTTGTCTGCCATCAGGTAAGATATGCCTTTCACCTTCCGCCGTGATTGTGAGGCCTCCTCAGCCACCTGGAACTGTGAGTCCATTCAACCTCCTTTTCTTTATGAATTACCCAGTCCCAAGTATGTCTTTATCAGCAGCATGAAAACAGACTAATACACCAAACATCACGCACCTTTTTTTTGGATCTGTCTTTATTTGCAGAGGCTGTTTCCTACTCTTAGGATATATTTCTCTTTCTCTACACCCAGTCTGAGAATGTCCACATTCTACCATTGGACCAGGCTCAGAACAAATGTTACCTTTTCCTCAAAGCTCTTCCTGTTTTTCCTCCTTTCCCAAATCTGAATCCTATCTCTTCCTTCTCTAAGCCCTCACAAGACCTAGTGTGTATCATTCTCTGGGTACTTAAGTAGATAGCAATGAATTTATGCACGTGCTTATCTCACCTATAGATTTACACATTCTTATCATTTCCGGCTTCTGAATAAACCTCTCACTTGCTCTCTAATTCAGCAGAAATTACAAACAGATTTTTTTGAACGTATTATATATCTAGTGCTTTTAGTTTTGGTCTACTTGAAGAAGATTCTACGAACACTTAGTCTGCCATATTGCAGGAAGCTGAATTTCATTTATTCTAATAAAGTCTTCCATTCGTACCGCACTTTAGAGTTAACAGGGTGCTGTCATATATGTGAGTTTCTATAAACTTTAGCAGCCTCTAACTTCAATGCATATCATCATGCTGCAGATGAGAAGCAGAGGACACAAGAGACTAAATAATATGCCAGAGCAGAGCCTCGAAGCCAGAAATGGAACCCAAGTCTTTTCTCTCCAAGCCCAGGGCTCACTTGGGGACACTACAGGCGCTGCCCCTATGATATGTGCCACTGGTCATTACTACTGCAACCACACCTGGGAAGCAGACATTCTGTACAGGAAAGTACATGTAGCATAGGAGTTAGGTCGCAGGCAGTGGACGGAGGGGTGGGCTACATGAGGTTCTACATACGCAATTCTCAGAAGGGTCTGCATATTTTAGTCCTACTTACCTCACCACTTTGGCCCCATTTCTCACGACCTGCATGTCCACCATGCAGCCCCCGGTCACATAGGCTGCTAGGTTCAACTCTGAGAATTCAGCCTGAAGAAGAAAGCAAAGCAAAAAAGGATTCATCAAATACCAATGGTGGTAACAATGGTTAACACATATTGGGTACTCAGAGGTGCCAAATACACCTTTAAAGCTCACCTCAAACTTGGGAAGTTGGTGACATTTTCATCTTTCTTTTTGAAAGATGAGGAAGCTGAGGCTCTAAGAGGCCTGGTGACATGTCCAAGGCAGCACAATTAATACAAGGCCAAACAGGATTGAAGCCCATGTGTCTCTGATTCAAGGACCTATGCTTTTAATCCTTGCTAATTTCTGCCTCTTTGAAGGTGGAAGAAGCAACTCCAGCTCCAAGACTAGAACATGCCAGATGCTGTTCGATGGGACATTTTCTCTAGAATTTTTTACCTTCATGCTGTACAGTAGTATGGCATCATAATTCTGTGATTATCTCTATTAATGGAGCCAGCCCCTACCCTGGTCATATACCCAGTTTTCTTTTCTTGGTAATGGCCCCCTCCTCTTGCTCTATCCATCTGGTTACAGCAGCAGCACCATGATTATTCATTGACATACTGCCCTTTTGGTCACGGTTGATGGGGTAAGCATCTGACTCGGGGTGGAAGAATGAGATACTCTTCCCTGAGAGTTTGAAACTTATGAGTGAGTCATGCAGTTTCTCTCTAGGCGGTCGTATCTGTCATACACAACCCTGGGTGCTATTTAGGACCATGTTTTGTCCCATTTGCACTGGTGAAGCACAGAAAACCAGGGTGGAGAAAGAGAGAGAGAAAGAGAGAGAGAGAGATAGAGAGAGAGAGAGAGAGAGAGAGAGAGAGAGAGAGAGAGAAATGTCACAGTCACCAAGAGAGGGGGCAGGGCCAAGTGATGGGGAGCCCACTTGATGTTTATGTGCCAGCTACAGACCTACCTTTGGATTTTGTGAGTTCATCTTTTGGGTTGCCTATTGGTTTAAGCGAGCTTTCGTGGATTTCTGTTGCTTACAACCAGAGTCCCATGGAATACATCCTTCTTACCAGATGACATGCTCCCTGGATTTCTCACTATAATCTCACTAAGACATCTGTCTTAGTCTCCCAAGGTTGCTGTAATAGGTGGCTTAAACAGCATAAATTCATTCTCCACAGTTCTGGAGGCTGGAACTCCTAAATCAAGGTGTGGTAGGGCTGGTTCCTGCTGAGGGCCGTAAGCGAAGGATGTGTTCCAGACCTCCCTCCTTGGCTTGTAGACAGCCATCTGCTCCCTGTGTCTCCTTACATTGTCCTCCGTCTATATTCAAAGTTTCTCTTCTTATAAGGACACTGGTCATATACACTACCCTCACTTTAATGGCCTCACTTTAACTTGATTACCTCTTTAAAGACCCTATTTCCAAATAAGGTCACATTCTACTGTGGGTTAGAATTTCAACATATGAATTTTGGGGGTGACAAGTCAACCTATAACGCTATTGGCTAAAGTGCATAGCACCAAACTGTGCCTTCTACACAGTAGATGCCAAAAGCAATTTCTCTGGGTTTAATGGATGAACATAATCACTCACATGTATGAGGCACTCACTATGTGTCAGGTACTGGCCTAAGCATTTTATATATATGAATTCATTTAATCCTCGCACTTGTCCAGATGAGGAAATGGAGGCAGAAAAAGATCAAAAAATGTGCGCAGCATCATATAGTAGGTAGCAGGGCTGGTATTCAAACCCAGGCAGTGTGGCTCCGGGGCCTGTGTTTTGTTGCTGCTGCTGTTGTTTTCAGATGGAGTTTTACTCGTTCACCCATGCTGGAGTGCAATGGCTCGATCCTGGCTCACTGCAACCTCTGCCTTCCAATTTCAAGCAATTCTCCTGCCTCACTCCTGAGTAGCTGGGATTACAGGTAACCGCCACCATGCCCAGCTAATTTTCTTTTCTTTTTTTTTTTTTTTTTTAAAGTAGAAAGGGGGTTTCACCGTGTTGGCCAGGCTGGTCTCAACCTCTTGACCTTGTGATCCTCCTGCCTCAGCCTCCCAAAGTGCTGGGATTATAGGTGTGAGCCACCATGCCCGGCCAGGCCTGTGCTTTTAACTGCCACATTCCATGGCCTCCACTGCTCAGCTGAAGGAGCTATTAGGTGGATTATAACTGGGAATTTTAGGGACCTAAAAACAACCCATTTAAAGAAAAAAACAAGTTTACATAGAAGGGAAATATCATTTCATGGCAACTTAACTGTATCTCCTTGGAGTCATCTAACAGGAATTATGACCAAAGACCCAGCCATCTCCCCAGACAGCATTAGAGCAAACTGGGAGTACTTATACCTTTTGCTGTAATTAATAACCTCATTATGCTGTGGCAAGGCGAAAAGAAAAGATCACTGTGAATGAGTCCAGGTTAGTAAATAGTGGTAATGACCTAGTTATTAAGTCTAATGCCTTAAACATTCAGTCCCATCATGTTCAAGATTCTTAGTTGGCAAGGTCACAAAGAAGAATTAAGAAGAAAAGTTGTTGCTTACGTGCACAGATAAAAAGATATTATAAGAAAGTTACAAAACAGGATACCTGGTCACCAAATATATGCAGAGAGGGAGTCAAACAGAATCTTGGAAGATAGAATCTCTGACTCAAAAGTGGCAAGGACCCAAGGGCTGTCTTGCTGCCCAAATGGAAAGAGAGATACCTGGAGAGAAGTCACACTCAGGCTTGGATGTACAAGTTAGAGGTTCATCTTGTTCAGATGTGGGTGTCTAGTTATTTCTCAGTTGTGGTTTATGAATAATTACAGGAGATAACTGCCTGGGTTGCAAGGTAGCCAGCTTCTGTGGGATCAAGCAGAGAGCTGGCCTAGCAAAGTAATAGGGCATGCTTCTGTTATTTAACTGTCTAAAATCTTCAACACCTTGGAAATGAACACAGAGGTGTCCAAACCACCTTCCTTCAAGACAGCTTGATAGCCTCCCTGGTAGAATACGAAAGAGCAGCCATTTGGAAGACTCTCAGAAGTCTCATAAAAACAGTAGTGAAATGAATTGTATTCCTCAAAAAGCTATGTCCAAGTCCTAACCTCTGATACCTGTGAATGTAACCTCTTTGGGAACTAGGGTCTTTTCAGATGTAATCCAGTTAAGGATATCAGATGAAATCATCTTAGATTGGTGGGAGTTTGGCGGGAGGCACACTGAATCCACTAGCAAGTCCTTAGAAGAGAAGAGATGGGGAAAAGACAGAAAGACACAGGAAAGAAGACCATGGGAAGACGGCAGCAGAGAGACAGAGTGATGCTGCCACAAGCCAAGAAATGCCGAGAGTCACTAGAAGCTGGAGGAGCCAAGGAAGGATTCTCCCCTAGAGCCTTCAGGGGGTGTGCAGCTCTGCTGAAACCTCGATTTGGGAATTCTGGCCTCCAGAACTGGAAGAAAATACATTTCTGTTGTTGTAAGCCACTAAGTTTATGGTAATTGTTAGAACAGCCCTAGGAGCCTAAGAAATTAAAATAATAACTTTGGGAATTGAATGCAATTTCAGTATCATATTCAAAGTCACCAGGGCTCGAAGAAGGTCAATGTGGCCAGGTAAAGCTCCTTTATTCACTTCACCAAAAACATGCACATAGAAATCTGCACCCAGATTCATTCTCTCTCTCACACACAAACACACACAAACAAAATAACACATTAGTTATTCACCTATATCGCAAAAAACGCTATTATCAGAATTACTTAAATTTTCTGCAAGAGCTAACCTTTTCACCACAAATTACTTTGACCTCTACGGTTTTTGGTATGATATCGTTTTTTGTTTGTTTGTTTTTGTTTGTTTGTTTTTTTGAGATGGAGTTTTGCTCTTGTTGCCCAGGCTGGAGTGCAACAGTGTGATCTTGGCTCACTGCAACCTCTGCCTCCCGGGTTCAAGTAATTCTCCTGCCTCAGCCTCCCAAGCAGCTGAGATCACAGGCACCCACCACTGCACCCAGCTAATTTTTGTATTTTTAGTAGAGACAAGGTTTCACCATGTTGATCAGGCTGGTCTCAAACTCCTGATCTCAGGGCGATCCACCCACCTTGGCCTCCCAAAGTGCTGGAGTTACAGGCACGAGCCACCGTGCCCAGCCGGTGTGATATCATTTTAATACTACACATTAGGCACTGTGGTATGGACAAATGAGTACTCTAAGAGACTATATTCATATGTAAGCTGTTCAATATACTAGCTGATGAGTTTAGTCAAGTTACTGATTTAAATACCAATTATGACACCTTTAAAATGGAGATAATGATATCAATAATATCTATCTTTAAATGTTTTTGTGATGATTCAAGACAATGTATATGAAACATCCAGCACAGGGCTGAGACTCAGTAAACAGTTGCCATTATTATTTTCAAATATTCCATTGTCTTAGTAAGCTTAAACTGAAAGCATCCAAACTGGTGTACCCAGAAAAAGAACAACTCCTTCAAGTATTTATAACATATCCATTTAAAAAATATATTGAGGTGTGAAATGTAAAGACTTCTGCATATGGCAACAATGAAGTACCAGAGACTACATATACACTCCCATCTTAAACAATAAGAAAGCCAGACAAACTACCTTATGTATCAGTTTTCAGGAACTAGACGACAGGCATTTCAGGACTATGATTTCTGTAAAAAGGAAGCGAACAAAATTATCCCTATGCTTATCCTAGCTTACTGCCTAGAGGCAGTTTCCAGGCAGCAGAACAGCATGGGAGAATGCAGAGTTCATTAGTTTCACTGAGTTGAGGATACAAAGATTGAAGTTCAGGGTAGCCATGACGGCTAAAATTTGCAGGAGAGTATAGGGAAAAGTGGATCTGCACAGAAAAAATAAAACAAACAAACAAAAAACCTCACAAACTCCAGGGAGATCTATGTCTTTCGCTGAGTACTAATTTGAACATACATGAAAGGAAAGTAATCAAGGCCAGGAAAAAGCCATCAGGAAACAATCTCCAGAATCCACAAAGCTGGGAATAACCCATGTGCTCACCAGCTAGAGGGTAAAGA